TTGGAGAACCGATCCACTATCATCAGGATTACTGTGTTACCATTTGAAGGGGGTAATTCAACAATAAAATCCATGGACAGGTTAGACCAAGGTCTCTCGGGAACGGGTAACGGATGCAACAGCCCACAAGGAACTCTACGGGAGGATTTCATACAGGCACAAGTAGTACAAGCACTTATATAGTCAGTGACATCCTTTCGTAAGGAATCCCACCAAAAATACCGAGAAACAGCTGACACCGTTTTGGAAATACCAGGATGTCCAGCGGTCTTAGTATCATGATATAATGACATAATATCCCGTCTCTCAGGAACATCAACGAACAGTTTATCATTAGGCCTCTCGCTAGGTGCCATGCTTTGTTTCGCTTGTATGGCCTGCAAGAGGGACGAGGAAATAGACAAAATAGTAGTAGCTATTATCCTGTCTGGGGGAATGACAGGAGTAACATCAATCTCCTGTTTGTCAGTAGTTTCGAACTGTCTGGACAGAGCGTCTGCTTTAGTGTTGCGATCACCTGGCCTATAGGTGATAATAAAATTGAAACGGGACAAAAATAGTGACCACCTAGCCTGCCTGGAAGACAATCTTTTGGCTTCGCTAAGGTAGGATAGGTTCTTGTGATCCGTAAAAATGAGGATAGGATCCTTAGTTCCTTCTAACAAATGTCTCCACTCTTTAAGTGCTAAAATAATAGCAAGGAGTTCGCGATTACCCACATCATAATTTTTCTCTGCTTTGGACATTTGTTTAGAAAAGAAGCCGCATGGATGCAATGGCTTCTCGGGCGACTCTCTTTGGGATAAGACAGCACCTACCCCAATATCCGAAGCATCAACTTCAAGAATATAGGGCAGTGAGGGGACAGGATGCTGTAAAATAGGTGCAGAGGCGAACGTAGTTTTAAGAAATTCAAAAGCCTGAAGTGCCTCGGTAGACCAAACACGAGTATTGCCATCCTTTTTAGTCATACGGGTAATAGGTGCTACAATGGACGAGAAACCTTTGATAAAACGTCTATAATAATTGGAGAACCCAAGAAAACGCTGAATAGCTTTCAGACCTTGCGGTAGAGGCCATTCTATTACAGCAGCTAGCTTCTGGGGATCCATACGAAAACCTTTAGCGGAAATCAAATACCCCAAGAACTGGACTTCGGTTTGGTCAAACAGACATTTTTCTAGCTTGCAATAAAGACCATTAGCAAGAAGGGTCTTCAAAACTGTCGTAACATGTCTGTGATGAGTGTGTATATCTGTAGAATATATTAAAATGTCGTCCAAGTATACGATAACAAATGTGTGAATAAAATCTCTCAAGACATCATTAATAAATTCTTGGAATACTGCTGGTGCATTGCAAAGCCCAAATGGCATAACAGTATATTCGTAATGACCGGATCTAGTGTTGAATGCAGTCTTCCATTCGTGATTTTCCTTTATACGTATCAAATTGTATGCACTCCTAAGGTCTAATTTAGTGAACACAGTGGCATGTTTCAGCCTGTCAAATAATTCTGTAATCAAAGGTATAGGGTATGCATTTTTGATAGTGATTTTGTTTAGACCTCTATAATCTATACACGGTCTTAAATCACCTTCTTTCTTCGATACAAAGAAGAACCCTGCTCCAGCTGGAGAAGAGGATCTCCTAATAAACCCCTTTTTCTAGTGATTCCTTGATGTACTCCTCCATGACACGGTTTTCTTGAACCGATAAGGGGTACACCCTGCCCTTTGGAGGTATAGTGCCAGGCAACAAGTCAATAGCGCAATCATAGGGTCTGTGAGGCGGTAATTTCTCAGCCTCCCTTTTATCGAAAACAGTCTTTAGAGATAAGTACTGAGGGGGTATAACCGTAGACAAAGGAGGACTGGTAGGTACCTCAATAGAATTCAAAGGGGTGACTTCCAACGTACAAGACTCGTGGCAGGCCTCACTCCATGATTTTATTTGCCCTGTCTCCCAGTCAAAAATGGGATTGTGAGCACGTAACCATGGATACCCTAATACTAACTGTGAAGAGGGAGAGGTGATGACCTGGAATCGAATGGTTTCATAGTGTAAAACCCCTGTGTACATGTGTAATGGTACAGTCTCATGAGTAACAACTGGAGAACTTAATGGTCTACCATCTATGGCCTCAACGGCCAAGGGTATCTCCTTCTCTCTGATGGGAATGTTGTTTCTCTTTATAAAGCCAGAGTCTATAAAATTTTCAGCTGCCCCAGAGTCAACCAGAGCATAAATGTTGTCAACTATACAAATCTCTCCCATATATAAAGAAACCGGGAGAAGCAAGCGGTTAGGAGGCAATTTAGGAGACTTAGATATCACACCCAAGGCCAGTCCCCTATAAGGTCTTAGGTGCGAGAGTTTTCCGGGAGTAAAGGACATTCCTTTACCATATGGTCTCTCCTACCACAGTATAGGCAGAGTCCCTCCCTTCTCCTATGTAATTTCTCAGTATCAGAGAGTTTGGCAACCCCTAATTGCATAGGTTCCTCCTCAGACACTTTAACACTCTCTGGTATATTAACTCTGGGGTTAATGGGTGTAACAAAACGTCTATTCCTGTTCTTGGTATAGAGCCTGTCACGAATTCTATTATTAATATCAATGAGGTAATCGATAAGGTCCTCTAAGGCAATAGGAAGCTCCTTAGCTGCTACCTCATCCAATATCGTATCTGACAAACCTTCCATAAAGGCAGTAGTTAACCCATTGTTGGTCCAATCTACCTGCGAAGCAAGAGTGCGAAACTGAATAGCATAATCAGCCACAGACCTAGAACCCTGTTTAATTCTCATTAATGCTCTCGCGGCATTCTTTGACCTTTTCATTGTGTCAAAAGTTCTACGAAAAGCCGTAAGAAAACTGTTGAAATCATGTACCATAGGTCCATTAGATTCCCAAATAGGTTTTCCTCAATCAAGTGCCTTATCGGTAAGTTGGTGCATAAAGAACCCAACCTTAGACCTCTCTGTGGGAAATGAACGTGGATACATTTCGAAGTGAAATTCAATCTGATTAATAAACCCTCTGCAAGTCTTAGAGTCCCCTCCATACCTAGGAGGAGGTGTTAAATGGGCCGAAGTATTAGGCAAAGTAGATACTTCAGGGAGAAGGGGCGTAGGAGGGTTAGGTGTAGTTGCTGGAACGGTTCTAGCTAGGAGCGTCTGGAGAGCCTGAGCTATTTGATCCATACGGTGATCCTGCTCTACAAATCTTGCCTCATGGGACGCCATCTGTTGAGCTAAATCTGCGGGGTCCATGGCCCTATCGTAATGTAACGAGAATATACCCCTACACGCAGGATCCAGCTAAACAGAGGCAAATACAGAGGAGAGATACGTCTACCGGACCTTAGAATGGCCGGACTCGACGTATATGAGAGGAGACAGAGCCAGGAACAAACCGAGGTCAAGGGCACAGAGAGACAGCGTAAACTAGGACAAGCCGGGGTCTGGTACACGGAAAACAGCAAGCCGGCAAACAGTACAGATAAGGATAAAGCGAAAACGAAGTCAGAATACGAAGCCAAAGTCAATACGAGAAAACACAACTGAACACCACAAGCGCTAAAGGGAACTGAAACAGAAACCACGATAGGGCAACGAGCTAAGGGAAAAAGGTAAGTTTAAATAGCTTTAAAACGAAAGTGATTGGCTCCTGTCACTTCCACACCCCCTATAGGTAATTGTACAGGGAGTGTGGTATGACAGGAGCCAATGGGAGCCTTTTGGCAATTAGGCTCCCACTGTCTCTTTAAGAGCGCGCCCGAGACTCGCGGCGCGCTCTTAGTTTCAGGCGGGACACGTGACCGCCTCACGCGGTCACTGCCCGCCTTCCATCCAAAGCAGTTGGATGAGCCGCGCGCGGCTCATGCAGCCGCAGGACCGCGCGCGGCTTGAAGAGAGGACCGCGACCGGCCCCCGGTTAAGGTAAGTAACGCTACACTAAAATCCTTGAAACCTAACCTTGAGAAACTAACAGTGCCAGGCTACACTCTAAATGGATAGATGCCAAAAGGCCCCTCCCGTCGAGTGAGCTCCTCATGTTAACAAAATGGCGCTAAAACCTGGAGGAGACAATCATGACGAGGATAGTGACCTAAGATGGTACACCCCGTAGGGAGGGCATTTTACTAACTACTTAGCACCTAAGCCAATTAACAATGTCTATTTGTCTATATCTTGATTTTCTTCAATGATGTAATAATGCCTTTAAAAGGGCCTGCGAGCCTGCTTTTTAAACAGAAGCCATTAAACTTCTCCGAAGTTCTTTCATTAACCTGAACTCTGTGTCTCAGTGTGAATTTACTTCTGCGTGCACGCAACTTTATTATCTTTAATTTGGACAGGAACAGATAGTCATTCAAACTAATTGGTTTGCAGTAAATCATCTACTACACTATTAGGCCTCATGTATCATCCCCTGGTTCTGAGTGAAGCCATTTTAAAACAGTATGGCCAAAACCAGGGGTCCCTGCGGGACTCATAGCTTTCTGCTTGCCTAGGGCTAACACAGAAGTACATCAAGCACTGCCAAATTTGGTCAAACTGCTCCAAAAAAATATTTGACTCATAACCAATGGACTAATAGGGTCCAATGGCACCATAACCACTACAAAAGCATGCAGTGGTTATGGTGCGTACACTAATAATTTTAAGCCCATGTATCTTTTTTTTTTCCTGTGCTGAAGTCACAGTGTGGTGACACTCACTGTTTTGTGTTCAACATTGTAACTGGATCCCTAGGTAACATATATTACAGGGTCACGCTATAATCACGGCTACCCTACATTATGCATTTTTTATAGGCTTCTCTAGTCAGACTGAAACTTAATCATCCTACTTAGGGGTCATAGTGCAATAGGAAAGGTTATTTAAGCAAATTCTAAACGCACACAAAGAGACAAAGGTACAACATCATATTAACATAGCTGATGACGTGCTGTAATTCAAGCCACATCAACCATATTGTATGATATCGTGGCTACTGATTGCATAGGACTGGGATCGGCAGGTGTGATAAGAAGAGTTCACAGCTATAAGCATTAAATCGTCTACATTGCCCCCATCTAAAAATCTGACAGCTTTCTAATGCAGGGTAGTTAAGAGCAGGTCTCCTTAACTTAAACCACAACCTTCAACCAAAGATGCAGGATTTAAACATACAAAAAAACTGTGCACACACTGATATTTAATGAATGCGACACTGTCACTATACATATATATATATATATATATATATATATATACACACACACACTAATTATACACTTATACGGTTACATTAAACTGTCCAGAATTTAGCTAGGTGAGCTGGATACATGGATTAAAATTAATTAATTTTAGCCAAAAAATTGCAATTTCCTGTTAACTTGACATGTCACCATTTATGTTTACTCCAGGCACTATGACCATTTCAGTTATCTGAAGTAGTCATGGTGCCTAGAGTCTGTGCATGCAGCATTTCTCAACAAAGTTGAACCCCTCTCCTGCTGGATTTGTAAACCTTCCGGTAGTGTCATTAGCCAACCCAGAACAAGAGATGTGAGTGGCTAATATGAATTCTGTGCATATTGTAAATCTGATGTCAGCATACACAGATTGTAGATGGAAGGCTCCCAATGGCAGCATCCCCCCCATATCTCCCCTCCTTGTGACCCATCCTTCTACAGCAAGAGGGAGTGACGTCAGCAGAGGAGGATCGGGCTACAAAGAGAAACACATTTTTAGTTTCATTTTTTTTATTTGGGGAGGGCAAACCAGCACAGCAATGGTTACTGTAACCGACAACACTGTTTTCGACTGTTTTTTGCTTGGAGTAATCTTTTAAAACCCTGACTTTCACTGGAACTCCAGAGGAGAAAGAGACACACAAAAGGAGTTTGGGTGCAGAAAGAGGCACTCAGAAGGGCTGGGTGGAGGGAAAAAGAGACACACAGAGGGTCTGGGTAAGAAGGGAAAGAGACACACAAAAAGGAGCTGGAGAGAAAGGACAAACAAAAGCTGTCTGCAAGAGAGAGGGGAGAGACACACCAAGGGCTGGCGAAGAAGAAAAATAGACACAAAGAGAGGCTGCAAAAGTGGTGGGAAAAAACACACCAAGGGGCTGGGGGGCAGGCACACAATGGTGTTGGGGGAAAGAGACGCACAGATGGGCTTGGGGGAAGAGACATACAGAAGGGCTGGGGAAAGGGAGAAAAACACACAAAAGGGGATTGGGGCTGGAGAAACACAAAAGGAACTGAGAGGAGAAAAAGACAGAGGAGCTGGAGAAGGGGAAAAGAGACACACAAAAGGTCTGGGGGAAATAAGAGACACATAAGTGGGGTGGTAGGAGACAGAAAGGGGTGAAATGGGGATAAAATACACTAAAGGGTGTGTAAAACACTAAAGAGGGAAAGGCATTGAAAAGAGGGGATAGGAAACACAAAGGGGGCAAGAAATTCAATGGGGGGTATAAGACACACAGCTGAAGATGCTTTTTGGAATGGGGCTCCAAAATACATCTTCTTCTGTGTAGCAAAAAACCTTTCACCAGCCATGCTTTTGCCACCACAAAAATCATGTTATGCCAAAAATGACACTGCTACTTCTACAAGACCAGCTCTGTCATGGCAACCAGGGATCCATGCGGGATTCATCAACTTCTTTCAATGCATCCTGTAAATCTGCAGTGTTAGGTGGTCAATTCCCATTACCCTTAGTCAGCCAACTCTAACTGTGTGTGATGGTGGTTCAGCAACAGAAGTTGCATGGGAAATGTAAATGATTATATATACGTATATGTATTGCATTCATCCTTCTTGCATTCTCTTTGGTCACAGGGGAGGTAATGGGTTCACATATAGTCACAGTTGGTCCTAATAAGGGCCTGCACAAGACGTCATCTAACCCACACTCTTGCAATGAGTGAAGATGCAGTAGCAGACCTGCAGTCACTGCTGTTTCTGCATGATGTGTGATGACCCTGCTAATGGATAGACAGAGATATGACATCATACCCTACTATAGAGCCTTCACACAGTCACAGGGCAATGCCAAGGCAGCATTTACTACTCGGATACTTGTATTCATAGAATATCACCTGGACATTGTAGTGCTATATAAAAGTACTGCTATATGAATATATACAAGTGGCACATTAAGTATCCCCCCTTATAATATTGTAAAAGTCTGCAGAATACATTTGCATAATATAAATACCAATAATAATAATAACTTTTTTGCACATCCCCAACCCAGGAACACCCTCTATACATGATGCTAGGCATTTTTATCCCCTCCATATGCTGTATAACCCATTTACACCTTCCCAGTCCATATAATCCACTTTATATACTTCCAAATACCCTGTAATAACCTGTACATGCTTCCTGCCCCTTTCTGATCTTGTACATGATCTCCGGTCTCTTTAAAACCCCACTTTACAGACTACCATTCCAAATAATCCCCCTATAGGTGCTCCAGGTCATTTAATACCCTGAGCCCATTGCAGTGGAGCTGGAATAAAGGATACCTACCTATGGTTAGATATGAGCCATACACCTGGTGGCCCATCTTCTGGATACGCAGCACTTTTTACTTCCAGGTAAAAATATACCACTTCCTTTAGGCCTAAAATTATTTATTATTAATTATTTGTTAACGATTGAACAGCCATAAAAAAAGAAATAAGGGTAGCGCCACAATTTTGATATGTACAGTGATATATACAGTATGTATTATATAATAGATAAACAAATATATATTTAAAAGTCCAAAATGGTAAAACAAGTCCAAGAGATAATGCAGATATGCACTTATCAGAAGTATTTTTCTACCAAGTGTCTGGTTAATTCCTCAATGGGCGTAGCAGGGTGGGATTCAGCAGTGGACTCCGTATGAAACAACAGAAAGGAATAATAGGGTAGTATGTTCTTACAGGGAAAATAAAAGGAAAATGATATAGGCTACTCACGTTTTATGGAGCTGTAACTAGCTCCAGTATGAATGACATACAGTGGTACAATCCCCACTTGCAAGGATACGTGAGGATGAAGTCTTTGTAGTAGGTAGACCATAAAAATAAACAACAATAGTGCTCCCTAAATAAAATGCCAGGAATAAGGATAAATGGAAACGTACTCACATTTGCCAGAGCAGACGGACTGCTCTATGGATCAGGCGTGGGTGGTATAATCCCCACCAAGGATGTCTTTGGAGTAGTACTCACTGGAGATAAAAATCAGGCGATTCCTGATTTTTATCTCAAGTGAGTACTGCACACCTCATTTTTATAAAGGAGAATACAAGTGGGGCGCTTCTAAAATATCAGTATATGGAAGGGTGAAATAGGTGTTTCCCCAACACCTTAGTAAAGACAATAATAACAATACCAGCAACAAAGTGTATAAAAAAAAACACACAGAGTGGAAGTGCACCCATCCAAATGAATACGAATGTATAATAAATAAGTTAATACTTATATGTATGTATGAATGGCAAAGAGGTCTTCACAACGCCTACAAAACAGTAACATAAAACATAGTGTGTCCATGGACCACTGGTGACACTGTATCATTTTTATCAAGAAGGTTTTTATTTACTCGATGTGTTTTATTCAATACATTTTTGATACTTTCATCCTATGCTGCTGCTTCATCTGTATCTCCGTGATCCATCTGTCACCAGTGGTCCATGGATATCCATCATTAGCCTGTATAGGCACCCTTGGGCTTATTATACAGAGCCTGGCACGGCTCTAGAATTTGTGAGTTTAACCATTTATCGTCTGATATTCAATTATGTTTGTATAGTACACACTATGTTTTATGTTACTGTTTTGTAGGTATTGTGAAGACCTCCTTGCCATACATACATACATATAAGTATTAACTTATTTATTATACATTGATATTCCTTTGGAAGGGTGCACTTCCACTCTGTGTTTTTTTATACACTTTGTTGCTGGTGTTGTTATTATTGTCTACACCTCATTTTATCTAATGTGAGTACTACACACCTGATTTTTATCTCCAGTTTTAGACTTTTAACTATATATTTGTTTATCTATTATATAATACATACTGTATATATCACTGTACATATCAAAATTGTGGCGCTACCCCTAACTCTTTCTTTATTTCTGTGTTTTTTTTTTCTTTAGTAGGAAACGAGGGATCCCTACTCTTGGGGATCCCAGCCTGCCAGCCTCTTTTCACTCCCTCTAGTTAGATATCTACAGCACTGGTCCATGATCCATGATTTTATTAAAGACACGGAGGCTCATATTATGCATAACTCTTTCTTTATTTCCTCAGCAGCAAAGATAGAGGAATATAAATATTGTCAAAAATTAAAGAAAAAACTGTATAGATACACAGGCAACCAATCACATAACAGAGGAAGTGACTATAAAAGGCCTGTGTCTCCCACAATCCCCCTCTTTCTTTGCTGCTTCCTCAGACAGCTAAGTACTTTGCTTGGTCCATTGTATTTATTTGCTGTATTTTATATTTACATGGTGTTATGCTGTACTGTTATGGTACTTTTCTTATGGTTGTTTGGGTTTGCACTGTGATTGTTCACACTTATTTCTGATGTGTTTTATCTCTGCTTCTTTCCTTCTGTGAGCTGCTTCTTAGCAGCTCCTACTCTGTCCCCTGCGCTGGTGCCCCCCACCCACCCCTCCCTCACTCCGCCCGCAGCGACCGCTCTGTCGGCCGGCGGGTGCCTTCTATTCCCAGGTCGGCTTTCAGCCGCGGCTCTCTCTGGTACTCCCGCGCGAGGAGTGGCGCGCGCCCCTTCCCCCGCCGGGTTGCAGGCCACGAGCGCTCCCTACACGTGCGGCGGCCATCTTGGGGGCGGTCCTTATCCCCGGTCGCTCCATTCTGCTGCCGTGCGCTCTGCCTTGTTCCTGGGTCCCTGGGGTGCACCAGTGCTCAGGTTTTTCTTCCTATTTTCCTCTGCAGGGTTAATCAACCCTTTAGATACTGTTTTAGATACTGTTTTAATTTGTAAGCTGTTTGTGTTGGGTTCTTCCCCTGGTAAATTACTTTCACTATGCAGGAGAGGGAGGATGGGCCTGAGGGCCTCCCCACTGATTTCAATCCAGATAATCCTGTGGGGGCTACTGCTTCCCAGGAATTCCAAGCCCTGCTGGATGCCACTATGGCCTCTTCCCTGCAGAAGGCTTTTGCTTCAGCCATGGGGGCTGTATCATCCTCCTTTTCCCAATCCCTGCATTCTCTCCTGCTGCCTTCCATGGTGACTCCCGCCCTCCTGGGCATGGGACTACCCTCTCCTACCCCGACTGTGCCGGGGGCCCGTAAGGCTAAGGAGAAATCTAAACACATCGACTCCCACTCCTCGATGCAGGTTCTACCTGCCATGATTGACACGCTAGAGGCGGTCACAGACAGCGCGCCTCCCACGCGCAAAAAAGAGCCCCTGGCCGGGCTAAAAAGGCTAGGTTGTGGAAACGGGCTAAAGCCCTGGATGATGGGTCGGATTCCGACCGGAGTGTGGAGGATGAATCAGACGTTCTGGAGTATGACTCCTTTGATGAGGGTGAGTCGGGTGAGGACTTACCGCTTACGGGTGTGACCCCTTCTGGGGCACCCGCCGCTGCCCGTAGTCAGTTGATAAACCCCACTGGGGATACCAAGGCACTGGTTGACCCTCAGGGCAACCCCTTATTTGACCCCGACGATCTTCGTCACCCTAGGTCCGCAGAGTGGGTTCCCCCGGACCATGTTGCTCAATATGTGGCACGGCGCATGCACACCCCCTTTCCAAAGAAGGTCGCAATAAGTTGCGGGCGGAATGCCCCAGACCCTCTCTGCCCGGTGCAGCCTGCAGAACCCCTGACATCGACCCTCAGATTGCTCAATTCATGAACAAGTCGGGCTGGAAGCCCAAGAAGGGCTTGGACTATTCGCTCAAGGGGTGCCAGGACAAGCTCTTGGACACCCTGGGCCCTTTATCCAAATTATACGAGCTCCTGGACGGCGCTCGGGCAGGCACTTCCATGCTGGATGTTGATGTTGCCATAGGATGGGTCCAGAGAGCTATCTGTCTTTTGGGGAATGCGAACACTGCCATGTCCTCAGAGAGGCGTAAGGCAATTCTCCTCAAGCTTGACCCAAAACTGGCTGCCATGACTGTGGCGGAGCCTGGTCCTTCCGAGGAGGGGATGCTGTTCGGTGCTTCCTTCGTTAAGGACTTGGGGTCGTATGTTAAGACCTTTACGGCCATTGACAAGGCGCAGGCAAATATGAAGCGCATGTTCGCGCCCAAGGTTTTCGGAGGGGCCGGGCGTAGCAGGAACCGTCCACCCGGCCCTGGTTTCCGTGGCTCCTCACGTGCCCAAAGAGGTTCCTTCTTTCCGTCCCGGGGATTCCAGGATCCGAGGACGCCTCCTTTCTTCCCAGCCAGAGGGAGGCCTTGGGGCTCCAGATACCCACGCGGTGCCGCTTCGGGAAGACGCCCTTATGGTAAGTACCCCTTCTTCCCATATTACTCGGGCGCGGGTAGCGGGCAGGCTGGCTCTGTTCCACCAAGAGTGGGCAAGTATTACTTCGGACGCTTGGGTTCTACAGTGTGTGAAGGGCTATCGCCTGGAGTTTGTTTCTCTCCCTGTCCAATTTCATGTCCCCAGGGAATTGTCTCTCCCGCTAGACCAAGACGAGATGATCTCGGCGGAAGTCGAGGAGATGCTGTCGAAAGGCGCTATAGAAGAGTTGCCGTTCACCGCTCAAGGCTTTACGAGCAATCTCTTCCTAGTCCCCAAGAAAGGGGGCGGAGTCCGCCCGGTGATAAATCTCCGTCCCCTCAACGCATTCCTCCGGTACCAACACTTTCAAATGGAGGGTATACACTGCCTCAGGGACCTCCTCCGTCAGTCAGACTGGCTGGCCAAGTTGGATCTGAAGGACGCGTATTTCACGGTCCCGATAGCGATGGAGTACAGGGATTACCTGCACTTCACCTGGCATGGGAGACGCTGGCGCTTTACCTGTCTGCCTTTCGGCCTTTCCTCGGCGCCATGGTGCTTCACCAAGATCATGAAGCCTCCAATGGAGTTCCTCCGTACCCGTGGGGTGCGTTTAATCATTTACCTGGACGACATCTTAATCATGTCCCAGTCCAGAGACCAGCTTCTCATGCATTTGGGATGGACGATCGATCTACTGCAAAACCTGGGGTTCTTGATCAACTGGGACAAATCGATCCTGGACCCATCACAGTCGATGGAGTTCCTAGGTTTCCAGGTGGACTCCATCCGCCAATTCCTATACTTGCCGGATTCAAAGATCAGAGCCATCCGAAAGGAGCTTCGAAGGGCCCTGCGTGTACAAGATCTATCCATCAGGCAATTGGCACGCATTATCGGTCTCCTTGCGGCCTCCATTCAGGCGATATTCCCGGGCCCACTCCATTATCGTGCCCTCCAAAGGCTCAAGGGTTCTCACCTCCGATCGGGTCATTCCTACGAATCCCGTGTACAGCTGGACGTGGAGTCCAGAGACGAACTGGTGTGGTGGTTAGCCCACATGGAAGCCTGGAACGGGAGGGCCATCTTCGGTTCCATCCCGGACGTGGTAATAGAGTCAGATGCCAGCTTACACGGCT